TCTTGGTAAAAATATACGATTTTGATAGTACCTCCTCAAAATGACCCAGCTGCCTTTCTGGGCACAGAACTAAGAGGCTTCTGGAAGCAGGGCAACCACACATTGCGTAGTGATTGGCAACAAGTTGCCAATGAAGGTGACATATATAGTTGATCAAAATTGCTTCCCACTGGAATAAACTTAATTCGAAAAAATGTTTGAAAGTGTCCACGAACTTTTGGGACAACCTAATAAAACCCCATGCCTAATATGATTCATCTCCGCTCCGCGAACGTCGGTCGCCAGTGTAAACGACCATTATATCATTCATATTAATCACTCGATCACCCTGTAAGAGCAGTGGTTTATAACACATGCTATGCTTTGCGCTCATAGTACGAGCCTGTGAGAGAAACAGAAAATGATAGCTGAAGTGCGAAAGGTGGTACAAAGTGAACTAGGTACGAGTTAGGTCTGAAATATACGAGAGATCCACACCACATCAGAAGTCTCCATAAGAGCCTTGGTGAGTGTGGCACCGTGGATGTTGCTTTTCGCTGCGTGAAATTGATGCTGTGATTTTTTATTTTCAAGGAACGGTGGAGAAATCGATGCCTGGTAATAAAGTACCGGTGAATAAGTACCCATGGATAGCATCAGTTATTAGATACAGAACCATTGAAATGGATTGCTTCGGTAAGTGTGCTTATACGTCGGCTTTGAAGACAAACTGAGGCCTTGAGAATGAAATGAAACTCGGAAAAAAGAGTCACTGAAAAACCCTCTAGTTGAGAGAGTCTAGCGCTCGAGCAGCCATCTGCAGGCGTACTTCCTTGTACGGGTAGCCTGGTTTGCAGTCGGATACTGTTCCACTTTCGCTGCTTCATACTTAGTAGTGAAGGCGCTACGGCCCGCACAAGCAGATCTAAAGTCTTCCTAGTTGACCCGCCCACCAAAATTCAGAGTCTATTTCTGTCCCATATTCGGCTTTTACATGTTTTTCGCTTTTATCGTTCTCAGTTGAGCGTTACTAGATTGAATGACGCGGGGGAAACGATTTGTGTTCTGAAGTAGGCAGGATTTCGCTTTGGGGAACATCACCGTTGTGGATTCTCCAACAGGGCGGGGGATCGTATGAGTGATACGTTCTTTTTCAAATATATGTTTTGGATGTTTTCTGAGCAATACAGTTTTTTTTACTCTGTTTCCTCAAAGGCAGCGGGAAGGATGGCTGCTGGCGGGCTGCCAACATCATTGGCTCAAGGGCTGGGAGAACGTATTAAGCCGCACCCCACTTGGCCCCTCCACTAATGACTTTGGCAGCAACCGCCCATCGTGGCTTACTGCGTCACTAACGTTTCAGCGACTTGTGTTTATATATGTATGTCTTCAGTGGGTTACTGTACTGGTGTGCAAATCTCCAGTCGACATATTTTGACGGCTGCTCACTGCGTTGTGGAGCAAAAACCAGAGAAGGAGTATAACAAAATATGCGATGAAGTTATGAGGTTGATATTTTCTATTCAGTGGATTATATGTAATATTATGCTGGGAAGAAAGTCTTGCCAGTATTTTTCAAAAATTTTTCAGCATTCGATTCTTGATGATCTGAATATGACGCTACATGCTATGCTTGTAGAAAACTCTCGGCTTTCTTGCAAGAGATATGTGAAGGCGCTTGCTCTTTCCTGGGTTTTATTTCGATCTCAATTTCACAGGGGAATCTCCGAGCTATTATCTTCCGTCACCGGCTCCGCGACACAGGAGCGGCGGCAGTTGTTGCAACATCAACAGTGCATTGGCGAAGGACACCACTACTAACAGAACCTTCCACTTCTGGTTCGCTCGCTTCGCGAAAGAAAACACGATCCTCGAAGGCAAATTTCGGTTGGGACGTCCTCACAGAATGGAAGACTCAACCGTTCTTGAGGCTATCAAAAAGGATCCGGTGGCCACCACACGCAGTCTTGAGAGAAGTCTTGGGTTTGCCCGACCTGCCCATCAAAAAAGGCGGCTCGATAGATTACTCATACGGACGGATGGCACGCTGCGCCCCGGTTCCCCTTGATCAGGATTCTCCTTTCCGCCTCAATTGGAAGTTCCTGGGAGGCTGCTTAGTGAAGATAAAAGATCTCTGGCGATTTTAATCCACACAGTACCGGTGTCTATTTCAAGAAAAGGACTCATTCTGGCAGTCCAAGTCGGGCATGGACTTCTGAGAAGGTTTTCTGTGCTGCTCTGGGACGCGATGGGCATGCTGTACAACGAGCTGCCATTGTAAGAACAATGGTCACCGCTACCAGTCGCTGACCTGAAGGCAGCTCGTTGCCAGAATGGTCGCTAAAAGTTGTGCCGCTCACCTCCAGAAACGAACTTTCGGAGAAAAATGACCGAGACTAGCTTCGGGGTATCTCGTTCATGACGACCTTAGACCTTACACTGCTATGAGACTTACCAAAAAATTAGAAGCAAGACTGGGAAGCCGTAACACGCCCACCAATTCCTGACGTAGATCCCTAGTATTACCACCTGTTCTTCTACTTGACGCTTTCTTAGCTGAGAAAACTATCAGCAAGCTTGATGACACTAGCCGAGAGGTCGCCGATTGTCAGACTCGTATGCTTGCTGATCTGCTCCTTAGGTGGAGCACTGTAGTGGCTGATAGTATAAGGCTATGATTAATTTCTATTCTATGCCGAGCTAGAAAATAACAAAGAAAAAAAATCGCAGTAGTGACAAGACTTTCTTCCCAGTCTATTACTATGGTGGATCAGCATGAACTAATCATAAACAGGTTGATGACATGGGGACTTCTTATGGATGATCAGGCTACTAATCTGAAAGAACTGATTCGTTATGCCTACGATAAAACTCCTCCAGAACAATTCACCATCCGCGCCAGTAGCTCTTGCAAGCATCTGCAGCAGTGCAATGATGATCAGCTTAAATTCAGTATTACAAAACCTGTAAGTAACAAGAAAGATGACCAAGAAAAAAAATTCATATACTTTATTTAGCCTCACGTTCACGAAGAATACAATCCTTGCCTGCATGAAAATGACTTGGCAATCATTGAACTTGATAGGAACATTCCTTCCGATGTTGGAACACCAATCTGTATGATAAACGAGAATGATCATCTAGGGCGGAAACTGACTGCAATTGGTTATGGGAGAGACCGTGAGTTCACAATGCATAAAAAATTTTCTTATAATAAAACGTATCGCGCTGAATAACAGCGCTCTGAAGGACGCGCTATTAGGCAGCGTTCATACTTCGCGACAGCAGCGGCGATCGTAGCGATCGCCGCGATTAGCCCGCACGAGTACGCCAAATGCTAGTACTTAGTTAGATCGTTCACTCTGATGAATGAGGAAATCCACTTGTGAGATTTTTTCTCTTACTAGGGTCGCCAGGTCGAAGTGGCCATTTGTAATGGACGCAGCTCGCGGGACGTGGTTCTGCTCGCTGATCTTAAATCTGCCTTCGAAATTTACAGAACGATTCTCTGAACGGAGTTATTGAGATTTTTCCTCCGCCCTAACAGGTCATAAGATCGGATCCCTGCTAAGTTCAACTTTTTTGGCAGTTGAACGAATATGGCAAAAAGTGATTTTGCCGTCACCACTACTTCAGTGCTCACCTAAACTTGCCTGAATACAAGTGTGCGTCCGTTTATACTGCGCTTGGGCACCTTGTGCAAGCCTTGTAGTGCAGAAAAGGATCTGGACTTACAGGTGCCCGTCGTGCGCGATACAGGCGTTTCCGTGCTCAACGAGTGTCATATTCGTGTTCAGCGGGTCAAGATGCCTTTCCACCCAAGTTTCTAGCCAAGTCTGGTATTTTAACTTGAATTCGAAAAGTGAAACATCCGTGGGTCAATTCAGTTAATCTTCACACCCATTCAGCTGCAGATACGTTCGCCTGCACAAAGCCTCATCTTGCATTCATTCTGTTACTGCTTCAGTTTTGGTGACATCTAAAAGCAAATTCCGTTCGAAGACAAGCAGTCGACAAGAGACTGGCCGTCGAACTACTGATGACCATACCATATGTAGCTGCACGAGTGCTGCACTTTTCCAAAATTAGGTCAAAACCTTAAATCTGGCTAAACCTGTCCCTAAGAGCATTTTGCTCCCTGAACACGAATATGACACCCATCAGGCGTTTGAGTCTTTTCTGGACTCAGACATTACTCAAAATGCAAAAAAGTGACCTCAAAACTGCAAAAAAAAACCTCGAACCTCTGCAGATTCGAAATCAGAGTACAAGAACCCGCTGCGACCATCCCTAGTTATTGATGGCTACTAACTAGAAACTTTCTATATTTAAGAGGATCTGGAATATGAGGAAGGGGTTTCACCTTTTTTCGAGGTCGGGATAAGGGCAACCTCATTTAATGGGTGTGTTTCTTTTTGTTCCTTTTGTTGTCATTGTTTCATTTTACATGTGTGTCTTAAAATTTCCTATTACTTAAACTGTTCCAACTTCCGAAACATTCATAGTTTACAAGTCGAGTTCAAACAACGAAAAAAAAGAAATAGAATGACATTCACCTAGGGATCGGAACTCTAAGAAACACTAAGAAATTTAGCCATAATGAAGCTACCACGTTTATAGCTCATTTCTATCTTGAATTAAAGGCAGCGTCCGCGTTCAGTTGAGATTTTCCTCTCCCTTCGTGAGCAGGTAGTCAGGTCCGCAGAGGCAACAACTACACCACTTTCGCGGCGCAAAAACGAGTGAGGAGGCCCACGATGCCGTCGTTCTTCTCATTGGCCCAACCTACAATCATTGGCACCGCCCTCCATTCTAATGGTTACCTGATGGTGCGGTTGTTTCGCTGCTGCTTCTCTCCACGTCGAGTGGTGAGAGTGAGGTGATAAGGGAAAACAGCTGATATCAACAAGTGAGAACTCGTGCGACCGCACCTTCTCTTCGCCTTGAGCACGTACAACCTCAGTTAAGCAAGGGGTTCTATATAGAGCCTTTCCTATGATTTCTTTCTGATTTTTCTTCACTAAGGGGTTACTTGCTACCTTGTTATAAGTATTTGAGCCGCATAACTCATCAAATTTGAATGCGGGCTCAGCCTTTAAAGAGAAATAGAAAATAAAAGCCATCAAGTTTGGTCCACCTTCCCTTGAGTCGGAACAAGCTTTCGTATCAGAGAAGATAACAATCAAACAAGTTTTAATTACAATTAAACAAGCTTTCGTACCAGAGAAAATTACAATTAAAAGAAAAAAGAAGCACGCAATTGAGCCGATTCTTTCTAACAGTGTTCGGAGCGGTCCAAGTAATAGCGTTGGGGCGCGCTCTGACCTGTACCGACGATCGCGGCGCGATCGCTACGGTCGCTACGATCGCCGCGATCGCCACTGCTGTCGCGAAGTATGAACGCTGCTTATTTTCACGCTCCATGACTGGCCAAGTAAATTTCTCTTCCACACGAGCAAGTAGCCTGGTTTGCAGTGATGGCGTTCCATCACTCCCCCCCCCTCCTCTCCCCCCCCCCCGGTTTTCCATTCAGCGCACCGTTTCTTCGTGGAGCGCTCTTCATACAATGCTCCGTCCAGCAGTTCACAGTGCATTCAATGGTGAACGTTCGCCTCCGCACCGATATATGCGGCGGAGTCGAAGTCTGTACTTTTTGAAAAATGCTTACTAACGTCATTGTCCAGAAGACAGCCTTCCATCTTTATGGTCGAAAACGCAATATACAGGGTGACCAAAAAGTTCTGGCAATTTTTCGGAATACTTCGGTTGCATAAAAAATACCGTTCGAAAAAGGAAATCAGCCAACTAAACGTCTGGGAGTCTTCACCTAATCGAGTAACCAATAGACCGCTATACAACAAACATCAACAAATTCAAACAAGTGTTAAAAAATCCTCCTCAGCCTCAAACATTTACGTACCGGTCGTTTTCCTAAAGTGTTTCGACCACATGGTCGCGCATCTTCTGGCTGTATTTTGGTCTTAACACGAAAAGCGCAACGCCCACTTTCATGTGGCTAAAACCCTGCGCATCAATCTAGATTTTCGACCTAGATGAATAATCCATAGCGTTCGACCTGCCTAGTTGGTGAGCCCAAACGTCCTTGCCCCAAATCGGGAAACAGCTCTTCACAAGCGGCAGTTCGTGGGTTTGGCAGGATGTGCTGGCTCCCAGTCTTGCTGAAGCACATGTCCATCCGGGCCGAAGTGCTACGACACCCATGGCTTCAGTACATCGCGGAGAACGCGTTGTTGGGAGTAGACAGCATTAATCTTTACGATGCGCAGCCGATGAGAAATGATAGACTCTTTCGCGCTGTGCACAGACACCGCCTCAACCGTGATGAGGCTGCGCAAAGACGCTCTGCCCCGACGGATTCACAGCCGTTGCCTTCTGTTGACCTTTTCTGAGGAGCAGACAACAATTCCGGTAGCTGTGATCGAAAATTTTCTCGTCGGTGGCGAGCACATTCTTCAACGCAACAAGCACCAGACTCAGAAGATGGGTTTCAAGAACTGCAACTTTTCGATTTTCTCGAGACAGTGCGGGGAGAAATCGAAAGTGATTGAATAGATGACTCGTACGGTAGTTCGAATGCTACAGACATACAAATAGGCCTATCGCGGTAGAAGAAAGCCAACCATACATGGCCTTTAAAACCCACCAAACACCGAATATTGCCAGAACTTGTTTGAATCACCCTTACAGAAGAGTCGTGCAAACGATGCCCGGACGCCAGCCGTACGCCTGACCGTTAGTCAGAGAGCAGCCATAGCAGACTCAATCAGACTCCCCAATCACCTGACAGCGAGCGAGACAAATCACTGGTGAGAAAGACACCTTGGCACGCGCAGCCCGCCGCGCGTTCAGCGCCCCCGTCATATCAGAAATATGAGTGTCATGTTCCAGCCTAGTAGATAACGAGGCGTGACTTCAATGTATTCCCTTTAGTATGTATGAAGGGAAAAGACAGAAAATGCTAAGTCAAAGTCATTTTTCAATGTTCTACCATACCTCAATACACTTACAGTCCTCATCATTGCGTAGTGTCGGGGCAGTTCATGTAGCACGCTGCGGCGCCAGGTCGTTCTGCCCGCCATGTTGTTGAACGGGTGCATTACGTCATTATTATACTCCGTATACTCGTTTTCTACCACTTTTGTCGCATTGCGTTCAACAAAAAGGCTTCGGAACTGCCAACAGTGTGCACATTCATACCTGTCCTGGCCACGCCTCAACCGGCCGCAATGATGAGACTGTATTGCTCTGTAAAACTTACTTTCACATACTCTATAGAAATATTCTTCCCCTGTGTCTCCAAAATGTGCCTTACTTGCCGCCTTCAGCTCTTGATAGTCAGAAAAGCCTTTTGCACAAAGACCTCTTTTAGGCTGTCGGACAAGAAGTAAGCACTGATCACTTTCTCAATTTTTCTCTTCTATTTTTTCTATTTTTTCAATCAGCCACCATTTTCTCAACGTTGTCGCATCAGTCATTCTGGTCTTCTTTTACCAAGGATAACTAGGATAGCATTGATGATAACTGAATAAAATTTTGTATTTGCACCCTTGGGGAGTATCGTTACCTTAATGATTTAAAGGGATACGTGCAGCACAATCGTCCGGGGCAGCGCTCGCCGCATGCGGCGTGTCGCGCGGCGAATGACTCAGCGGCTCATTTACGTGCATTTGCTAGCCGATAGCTTTGCGACTGGAGCAATTTTACTACAGCGTTCACCCGCAACGTTTACCATATTTCATTAATAATTGAAAATCTAAGGATGTTTTTCGAGATAGTAACACACAGTTGTTTGCGGATCCATAGACGCAACTTCAGGAATAAACAACTACAGAAGGAATCACGTAAGGCTCTTATTCTTCCTATGTTTTTGTGATTCACATGATTCGCGCAGTCGTCAGCGTCAACATTTGATAGATGAATGGTCAAGTTTTCCTGTGAGCTGCTGTAAAAGATGACACACCAGAGCAAATGTAAAGACCCTAATGAAGTTCATGCTCTAATGAACTTTTTCCTACTCTATGGAAAAACAAAGGAAAAACTAAAAACTTAACCCTAACTGAACACAAGACTCGATATGATATCAATACGGTGATGTCAATCTTTACATTCCCTTTAATACCTATTCAAAGGGGCAAACGCATGACTGGTATTCTCGCCGCAAGGATGTCGCAGGCCACGTCCTTGCAGCGAGCTGCAGCGGACGATTCTGTTGCTA